CTCAAAGACTTCTTCTGCTGTGTTCCTCCATATGATGATGTCATCAATGTATTGCAGGTGTTCTGGAGCCTCACCCTTTTCCGGTGCAGTCTGGATCAGTCAATGGAAAATAGTGGGGCTGTGCTTCCGCTCCTGGGGCAGTCAGTTCCAAGTGTACTGCACAGCCCTAGGTAAAAGCTCTAAAGCACAGGGAAAAAACTAAACTTTCTATCTCAAGAGCAATGAAAGTTTATACCTTTCTCTGCTACCCCTTCCTCCTGCTGTGCTAGATACATCCCCTAATTTCTTCCTCTGAGGGCTTCCAGTTGATGCTCCTAGATGGCAAACTCAGACTTACTACTGGAGTTCAGCAGACAAGAATGTCTTAAATCACAGCAGAGATCAGAGAGCAATGAATACCCAAGCAAATTTGAGACAAGGGAATGCCCCTGGTGCTAGTCAGATTCAAAGATGAACTGCTAGCCATCCCTTGAAAGGGGATGTCTGGTATGGGAAAACACTAAAAAAGTATAGGAAGTCTTACTTAAATCTAGGGGCTGACTTTATTATACCCCTGCATTGTATAAATAGTATCTGTCAGAACGTTATGAAATTGTTTTCAGAGTAGGATTTCACTTATCTATTTCAAGGTGTGAGATTTATACGTGCATACTTTCTCTGAAGTGAAAACCTGCCACTGTGTCAAGACACAAAGCAGTGACAGACAGCAAATCATCTTTTCTTGTTCATTGTGATTTTGCTTTTTAGGGCCTTGCATTTTTTTTCACTGAATGCACCAATATGGAGATCAAATTTATAAACAGATTTTCTTCCCCATGGACAGGAAGGTAATAACTTCTTTAGTGTCATGTCAGATTATACTTTAAGACACTTATACTTAAGAATTACTATGGCAGTGCATTATCATGGTGCATTAGAAGGTAAAATCATAGGGTTGTCAAAGCATGTTTCCTTTTACTGTACATTCTTGGGTTTTGGGGTGGAATTTGAAGTGAGGCATGATAGAGAAAAAGCTAGTTCAGAAAGCTGATCTAAAATTTCCAAGTATTTTTCAAAGTATGGTTTAAAACATTCATGACAGAGTAATTTTTGACGGAATCTCCTGGCCTTGCGTTCACCTCATTTTTAATGCTTAACAATCTTCTCTTGCACATGTGTTGTGAAGTTCTAAATCTATAAACTGCTTATATATATATATATATTTTACTCTTAGAGCTTTCATGGATGCAATCCTTATATGAGAGTTAGCAGTTTTACCATTGACTTAAAACTCCTTAAAATTCTCCAGCTGTACTGGTAGCAGTATTGAGGGAGGAAAGAGACATAAAGCAGACGGGAGCCTTAAACTTGGCTACACTGCGAAGAAGAACAAAATATTTAAACCCAGATTTTCAAAGGTATCATCTAATTCTCAGTGCTTGACCACCCAGCTCTAGAAAACCAAACTCACTCCACCTGAGCAGCAAATACCCACGTTTTTGAAAACCAAGTCTGACCTATTTGAAGCTGGGCACACATAAAGGTACAGAATTACGACTCGAATTATTAGAAGGGTGCTCTCCATGCTCCTGACTGACTACCCAGCTGCCTCCGGGCATTCCTGACTCCCTCGAGTACCGGACTCTTCCCCCCGTCCCCCTCCGCGTTTCCTGCCGCGGGGGGGGCGGAGGGATCGCGGGCCGGGGAAGCGCGGGAGCCATGGCGGAGCCCAGGCAGGAGCGGAGAGCGGTGGTGGAGCTGTGGGGGGAGCTGCTGCCGCCGCGGGGGGCGGCGGGCTCGGAGGAGGAGAGCGAGGAGGAGGAGATCGAGGAGGAGCTGCACTTGGCGGAGGCTGCGCTCATGGAGGCTGCCGGGCGGGAACTGGCGGCCTCGCTGCCCCCGCGCCGCGCCGGTGAGGGCTGCGGAAGAGGAGCAGGGCCGAGCGGGAGGGCGGGCGGGCTTCGGTGCCCCTCTGCGCCCTTCTGCGCCCCTCTGTGGCCTGCCCGGCCCGCGGGTCTGGGCTCGGCGGGGGGCGCGCGTTGGAAAGGAGCGGGCTGGACCCGGCGGTGTGGGAATGGCGGCGGGCGCTGAGGGCGGGCGCTTGGGGCCCTGCGGCCGCCGCTCCGCACCTGGGCGCGCACAGCGTGCCTGCAGGGCAGCGCAGGGCAGGGCAGGGCAGAGAGAGAGGGAGCTCACTCCTTCCTCCGGTCACCGCGTCGATTACAAGTAAAGGGACAGAGAACCGAAGTAGGTGATAAACCTTACATGTGCAGTACAAGGGCAGTGTGATTTGTGCTTTTCTACGAACTTGCCTATCTCACATTGGCCTTTTTAGCCGTCAGCGCGCTTGTAGCAAGCGTGGGTAGAGCCCTTCTCAAATCTTCGCTCGCGAAGCCTAGCCGTGATGATGACGGGCACAGTACTGCAACAGGTAGACAACATAAAGTTTTTCTATTTAAGGTAACTTCGCACAAAAAACCGCCAGTATTTTTAATGATATGTAATAGAGTGTTGATACTTGACGGTAATGATTCCTGACTTAGAAAAGCAGGTGAAGTTGGAGCAACTTATTCCTAACAAGAATACTTTATCCTCAAAATTGTTTTTAAAATGGCTGAATTGAACTAGGTGACAAGGGAGAAATAGATAAGTTGTTACAGACCTAAGAGCTACTCTGGGGTAGTGAGGAAGAGGCCCTGCTACATGTAGGTGCCCACTTTGTTCTAATCATAGCAGTTAGTCCCCAGTCATGGATTGAGGAGTGGTGTATTGAATTTTTTTGAGGAAAAGAGGGGTCAAACCGGGTCATACAAAATGTTAAGAGTTTATTGTATTAATTGCTTATAATTTTGGCAGTTTCAGTTGCAGAAAGTGTTTGGTATACAATTGTATCTGAAGAATCTGCAGGCATTGTGATGGAATATTTTGTGACAAAACTGTTTAAAATTGAATTGTAAACTTGTCGGCATAAATAGTAAACCGTAATATCAAACACTATGTGTTTAATTGGCTTAATAAATTCGTACACAAGATTTATTTCTGATGCTTAGAGAAGCAATTTTGTGCTTCATTCTGAGATTGGTTTCACTTGTGTTTTTAAATAGTACTGGAGAGACTGACGTCAGGAGTTTATGAAAGCCCCTGCTTTACTTTTACTACCTCAATTATAGAAAAGACAAACATGAGTTTAAAACAAACAAAACTCTTTTAATTAACCCAGACTTTTAATCTTTATGAATGTCAATTGACAATGGACTTTTTCTTTTTAATGATCCAGTTATTATACGGGAAGATGGCACCAAAAAGGAGTATGAAGTAATTGGACGTTTTCCATTAGTCGGCCCTTGGTGGAAGGTTAATGTTAAAGCTAAAAAAATTGGGTCTAAGTACTTTGTGGAAGGATATCCCTCATATTTTCTGCGGACTGATATAGAAGAAAACAATCGACAAGTATTTTCACTCTTTCTTAAGGAATGTGACGTTCCTGAGAGTTTTAAAGAAAAATTTTTTACTTGGCTTCCTGTGGAGTCTGTGCTGAATTTTAGAAATCTTGAAGAAAAGCTAAAACATTTCCAAGTTTCACACATACATCCAGGGAGGAGGCAAAGAGATACCAAGGATTATGACATCTTCTACTATGTTTCAAAATCAGGTAGGTATATCCTATGCTATTTTGATTGTTTTATAGCTAAGGAGTTCTGTTTCAGGTACTGTGTTCAAACTAACATGTCTTCATATCAAATGTATATTCAACTGAATTTTGAACATGCAGTGAATTTTTTTTTTTTTTTTTTTAATTTCCTCGCAGTGGGACAACTGATGAATTAAAGATAGGTATAGAGCAAGACTTTCCTAAATTCTGGCGGCTTACCTAGTAGAATTGCCTATGCTAGGGATGCTCCACCCCTAGAAGTGTTAAAAAGTGGGTTTAGCACTGCTTACACATGGTGGTGTGGCTTTTTAGGACAAATACGTGTTCAGAAATAGTATACCCGCTTCTTTGTAGTACAGGGGAACAGTGAAGGAGTTCAGTGTGGTCCAACTCAACACTAAATAGTCTAAATGTATTTGAATCCTTTCTGTCAGCAGATTGATATGGCCAGGAACAGAACGTGGAAATAGGAGTGTCCCCACACCGAGATAGTTCAAGACTGCCGAGGATCGTGTTGTGGGCTGCACTATAGTGCCTACATGGGTTTTAGAGATTGGATCAGGAATGTGCTTTTGAAGCAGACATCCCTCTTGTCCCTATTGTGATGCAGTCTCTGAGAGTATTGACTGTAGTCCTGCTGGATGAAACCCAAACAATGTGTTCCAGTTGCATGCCTAAGGGACCCCAATCCCTAACATGCTTTCAGTCTGTGAGACCAGACTACAGCTGGTCAGAAGCAAAACATTAAAATAGAGGGAAAGACAAAGTGTCTGAGGTGTGCCTTCAGCATTAGCTCTCGTTTTGCTCCAATGATCTGTTTCTGTAACCTGCTCAGGCAGGTTGGGCCTGTCTGCTGTTGCTTGTAAGCAGATGAAGTCTTCCAGTACCTGGCTCACTGGGCAGCATCAGGTCAAATGATGGAGGTGACTCTTTTGGATGTCAAATCGTGTATAACAGGAGAGTTGAGAGCCTCTGCTAGGCTTGAGCTGACTTTACTCCAAATCCCAAGTGTAAGGAGAGGAAAATTTTCAGAGTCCTACAGACTTTTAGGCTTTATGTTCTGTTTTTGTAACGGTGGCAAAGTTCTGAACCTTAGTTTATGGACTTCAAATCTTTACATGACCACAAAGGGGTAGGAATCAATAACGGTGGAAACGCAGATCTGGTTTGCTGTGAGAATTTTAATGGGATATGTAGATCGCTTTTGGTTGAGGCTTGTCCAGTATGTTCATGAATCATTAGGGGTTATGATTGCACTCTGCTCATTGTTCTTATAGTTGGGTTTTTTCCCTAGTATCTAATATAAGTTACTTTGCTACGTTTTAAATTTTCTTCTTTCTCTATCATTGGGCAATATGTGCCTCCCTCTCTCCCTCCTTGCTACTTCTGCTATTGTAAATTTATTTGGTTACCATTAATTGTTACAGGCTGGAGCAGTTTGTTCCTCAAGCCTTCATGGTATTTTTTTTTTCTGTGGAAATAGTGTATATTCATTCTCTATGTGTAAATTAAGTACTTTCTTAGAAGGGAAAAGGTTTTGTCTTTGCATTTCTGCATAATACATATTTTCCAAGAGAGTACATTTAGATGCATGTCATCTCTTTACATTGTTTTTTTCCCCAGGCAGTTCAGGGAAAACAGACTTTAAAATAATTTAAAAAGGATTACAATGAGTAAGAAACTGAAAGAAATTTGAGATGTTTTGGATCTAGGGGAGGCAGAAGGATGAAAACCATAGTAAGTTTAAATTGTCTTTACAAATATGTGTGGATATTGCATGAAACTTTGTTTATGATGACTGCAGTTGCAGGGAAGGCAGTATTGGTAGCTCTGACTTTTCCAAGGATACTGGAGTTCTTGCCGATTCTTCTGCCATGCCATTTTTTCTGTCTGTTGAATATGGTGGATTGGCAAAGAGGGACTGAAGAAAGAAATAATACAGATGGTGAGGAGATCAGTTTTCAAGACAAGATGCTAACAAAATTGGACAAGATATTAAAGAATGAGCCATGGAAACTTGGATTCAGCAGGGTAAGTAATTTTAGGTAGGGTAAAAATAGGGTTTTGTTACATCTGAGCTTTGTTACACTACAGTGCTGTTTTAGTTATGTTCAGTTTATTAAACTGGCATTTTTAAGGCCTAAGCATAGTTCATTTGGAAACAGATGATGTACTAGACTCAGTTTTAGCAAAGGGTTTTGTTTTTTCAGTTGGTCTACAGTAAATTTATCTCAGAAGATTTTTAAAATTGGTTTTGTTACAACTGTTTGTTTAGTGGTTTTTTTTTTTTACAAGGAACAGAAAATTAAATACTTGAGGTAATTGGACCAAAGTAAGAAAGTTAATTAAAAATCCTCAATTATCCCCTTCAGTTTTATACCTGTAAATGAGATTTTCTGTTCCTAATACGCAGAACAGTATCTGTGCTTTCATATTAAGGTAGATAAATTTCTCTTTAAGAGGTTATCTGATCCAGTGATTTGTTTTTTCTGATGGAATTTGCAGTGGTTGCCTACCTTCATTTTCCTTTACTGGGCTTGCTGTGCAGCTCTGCTGTTGCACCTCACCTTAGCAGTCCCGTACTTTAGATGGGAGCTGCAGCTTAATAGTTCACAAATATGGTTGGTTATCCCTCTGCTTCAGGCCCCCAGTGCTTTATGGATGGATGTTCTGACTTGTCTTTAAGACCTCCAATTTCAGAGATTGAGCACTGTAGCCAATATGTTTGAGCATTTCACATCCTTTCCTTTAAGAGGATTTTCCTCATGTTCAGTTTGACTATTTCTTGATGCATTATGGACTTGTTGCTCTCTTGCTTCTTGTACCAAGGACCTGCATTCTCGTTGCAGTTTTTTTATTGCTTGAAGACACTCTTTAGCTGTTTCTCTTAATACTGAGCAAGTGCAATTCATTTTTCTTGCCTCAATTGTTAGTCCATTTTGCACATCTCAGTTTTGCACTGCTTTGTGCTAGTGTCTTTAAGACTGTGTATTTCTCGAAGCAACATATGCAGAACTGGGTATGGTATTCTGGCCGTGTGCCTTGTTTGTGTACCTTTACTTGAAATTGTGTTACGAGGTGTGCAGGAGTTCTCCCTAATACCCAGTTTCTGTGTCTTTATTTTTAAAGTTCCTTGTATGTTATGAAAAATACACACATTTTTGCAAACTCCACCCTCTGAATTGCAGTTGGTATTTATGAGGAGGAATGTTATTTAGCAAGAGGCTAGTATCTTCTGAAATAAATATGTGTTTGCTTTTATTCTTTTTGGGAGAAGATTATCTATAAGGAACTGAACCTTTCTTACTGTGAGGCATCGTGGGCTGCCTTCTGTCAGTGTGAACATCTCCTCCGGAAGATTCCCGACTTGCAGAAGAATGCATTAATTCTGTATGATCAACTCAAGAAACAGTGTAGAAAAATGGGACACACATATGAAGATCAAGATGAATTGGCTCGTTTTGTATCCAAAAATATGTCAACCGAACATGTTTGGCAATCTCTTGAGTTTTTGAAAAATCAGAAGGTAGTGATTAGGGAAAAACAGCTAGTGTTTCTGCCTCATCTTTACAACTCTGAAAAAGACATTGCAATGTATATAGGTGACCTTCTGTCAAACGACACGTGGAAACTGGACGCTGATGTGAGAAAGATACTTAACTTTTCTGAGACATCAAGGGGAACGGTAGATAACAAAATGAATATTACCCAGGCAAATGAAATGGAACATCTGAAGGAAAATGATCCAGACAATCATAATGGTGAAAATCACCTCCCTGAAAAGGAAGTGGAGTCTATGCCTGGTAACAAAAGTAACGCAGAGGCAGACTTAGATCAGGTTATTGCTTTGGAAAAGATTTGTGCTAATCCTGTCACAATCATAAGTGGAAAAGGAGGCTGTGGGAAGAGTACAATAGTTAGCTGCCTTTTTCGTCATTTAAAGCAGATGGAAAAAGAAGTGGAAGCTGCTTCTAAGGACTTTGAAGAAGACTTGGATGCGTCTGAGGAATGGAATACATTTGATCATCCCTGGGAGTCAGAGAATATGCACGCAAAAAAATGTTTGAATGTACTGTTTACTGCACCTACAGGGAGGGCGGCAAGTCTTTTGAATGAAAAAACTCAGCTTCCTGCATATACACTGCATCAGGTAAGGTTTGGTTTTTTGTTTCTTTGTTTGGGTTTTTTAAATTAGGTTCTGAAAGACCTTTTGGCACTGTCCATTCTTGTTTTGAGGAAAAAAAAAAAGCAAAAAGCTTGTTATTGAACTTTCCTTATGAAATGTTTAACTTACTGTTATTAATGATAATTCTTAGGTACAGCTTGTCAGCATTTGAAAGAGTTACATTTTGGGGAATTATAAATCAGTCATTTGAAAACATTATTTGCTGTAACTTTGGGGTTTCTGTAGTTATACACATCTCACACTTGTGCCTCTCTAGGGTATCTGGTCCTTTTAGCTTCTCAGTTTTGATTTTAATTTTAATGAAGACAAAAATACATTCTAGGTGGTAGAGCTGTTTTCTAGTATCCTGTTGCCTGGCAGTCATACTGATACCAGCACATACATGGAAAGATCAGTAGCTTGGGGTTGAATAATGAGATAAATTTCATTTGCACAGTGTTTTCTTAATTACTGTCAAGTATTGTGGAAATTTTTTTAGAAAAAAATAGAAAGCAAACTAAACTCTTAAACTTAAGTCTCTTTTGTCCTAGGTAGTGAAAGGTGCCAAGAAGACATTGGAGGTGTGGAATAACACATATAAATAAAAATTCTAACATAAAATGTATTGTTGGCTTATTTTATCTTTGAGTAGTTGCCTGTACCCCTTCCCTATGCAATGCTGGGCATTTATTAAAGTTAGCAAGTTGTCGTAGGAGGTGTTCTGTTAGTGAGCAACCTAATGGCTCACCTTTTATCTTAAATGTCTCCTGCAGAAAGAAAAAAAAAAAAGCATTTCTGTGCTTTTATGTAAGTCAATGTCAATAATCTCAGCTAGAAAAGTATTCACTGAGGAGGAAAATAAGACTGAATGGTTGAGTCTTTGGGTCTTTACAGATTTAAATTGATAATTTCAGATAACAGCTCCACATACATTAGAACATACTGCACCGTCTACTTTTATAAGAGAGTTTTTAACAGTTGAATAATGTCAGAGCTTGCTTTATTCTTATTTGTTTCTAGATTATCTATAGTTTTAAGTCATGGAGGCAGAGCGAACAGGCGCAGCCGTGGAAGTTTTCTGCTGTTACGGTTCTGATTGTGGATGAAGGAAGTTTGGTGTCTGTACGCGTTTTTAGTTTAGTTTTAAAACTCTTGTGTGAGCATGCTCAGCTTGCTAAACTTATTATTCTAGGTAAGTAAAGCAGCAATTTTAGCGTTATACAGTACTTAATAACACACAATGTATAGTGTAAGTATCAGAGCTCCCACTGGTCTCATTGAGTCTGTTAAAAACTCCATAATGTCACATTGTTCTGTTCTTGGATATTTCTGGTAGTTGTAAGGTTCAGATAAGAAGGTTTTCCAGCTGTCAGTATGAAATTATCAGTATCTCCATTCCCTGTTTAGCAGTTAGCATATTAGTCATATGTTAGAAGGGAGGTTTCGTACAATTCTTAATGCTAGGATCATCTTGTTTTAATTCAAAAAGGAAAGCAAAGAAATACAACGTCAAATTCTTATGCTTTCTCAGAGGTTTGCTTTTTGACATGCGATTTAGGGCATTTTTAAAATATGTAGCTTTCAAAATGTGTTTGAATAAGATGTGATCACTGTCAGTGTTCATCAAGCAGAGGGATTTGCACTTGCTAGTAAAGCATTACTGAGTGAGGAATATGAAAAACTTGACCTATGCTACAACCTGATTCCTTAAGTGTCTCGCGTTCTTGAAAGTGTTATTTCATATGACTTGTAGTAAGGATGTATGTTATTATTAGAGAGTTGAGTGTGTATTAATTCCAGTGATTTTTTTTCAAGACCATTTGCAACACACGATCTGTTATTCCTTCTCACAAACACTAATTTGCGTTCTGTTTAGGTGATACTAGACAGCTTCCAAGCATAGACCCAGGAAACATGTTAGCTGATCTCTTTGAAGGTCTGAAATCAAGAGGCTTTTCTATACAACTGCGAACAAACCACAGAGCTGAATCACAGCTAATTGTAGATAATGCATCAAGGTAGGATATCCTTATGCATGTATGTAGCATTCTTGTAGTAGGCCTGGCCTTTTACCTGCAAAATAGCAGTGATCCAGATTTGACTCTGTAGTAAAAAGTTCTGTTTAGTTTTTTTGGTCCCAGTCAGTAACATTGGTTTTAAAAAAAACAAACCCCCAAAACAACAGCAACAAAACCCTACAGATTTTTCCAGAAGTATATATATAGGACAAAAAGAAATGTGTATGCTGGAATACTCTTAAATTCTGTAGGATGTATTTCACTATCAGATACTCTCTGTTGTTTTCAAATGAGTTGCACAGGTGACTTTTTGCCTTCTGAAATCGTTTAAAATTGCTTCTCTATAAAGGAAGTTTTAAAGACATCGCTGGTAAGTGTGACAACAGCTTAAACAGACTGTATTGCTTTGAGAGGTTAGATGTCAAGGGCCATTACATTACATTTTTATATCTTTCTGTATCAATACCTAGAGACTCTAAATGTTTCCAACATTTGCATTACTTTTGTTTTGTAAATAGTTTTATTTCCTATCAGTACAGGATTTCTTTTTTTAAAGAAATCTTATTTTTTTGGTAACACTTCTGTTTTACTCCATTTGGCTCCCATGGGAATGGTATGGGTAATACTAAGTATCTGCTGCAGTGCTGAGGGGGTTAGAGAATAAATCACCAACTTTTTCAATGTGAAATTAAGTTATGTTCAGAGGAAAGAATTTTTTGGTGCATGTAGTGTTGATGACAAAAAATTTATTCATGGTGAACTTCAGGCTGATGCAGATGATGATACACTGGAATCCTTTAACTGGAAGTAACTTTTCTGTTTTCCCTCCACTGCTCTCTCACCGGCAAGAATCTCTCATCGGCAGCTTCCTGAATTTGATGAGGTGCTGCAAGTTTCTGCTTGGAATGAGGACATGACAATTCTAAGCCCGGAGAAGAAATTTATTCTTATTGCTTTGCCTTCTGGTGGGCATTGTGGTGGTATGTGTACAGTCAGTTTGTGATCTTGATTTCCCCTTTGGTAAAGCATAGACTGTTGTCTGGAACTAAAATTTTGGGAAGGTTTTAATCTGGGGTTTTTTTTTGTGGGATAAACTTAAATGCTACATTCATAGCTTTATCTTCTGCCTTCTGTAAGTGCACACAGCAAAATCCATAAATGCAGAGAATAGGCTGTAGAGCTGCAGCTCACCAGTTACATTTTGAAATGGGGGACAGCTTCCACCAGTGTAATCAAATGTGATTGTCTTTTTATATTGTTGCTGGGGCTGTCAAAGCTTAACATATCAAATGTTTCAGGGGTGAATCATTTGAGTAAACAGTAACTGTAACAGGATGGTATACTGGACAGGAATGTCCTCCCAACTCTACAACTGAGTTAGGAAAATGGAAGCAGAAGGGATACCAGTATTTTTTTAAAATATTGTTTATTGGTTTTTTTGACATCTATTTGGTACAGGTGAATTGAGTGGCCTCTATTTTATATGCATCAAAAAGCTTCAAAGGGAATGAGGAAAACAACAGTGCAAACATTATCACCTTATCTTACTATTGTAACATACTCAGCAAACAGAATACCTAAAGTAGATTTCTTCTTTGAATCTAAGTGTATAAGTCTGTGGCTTGAAAATGTTTGATCTTTAGCTCTTTACTGTGCTATATCAAAACCTTATTTTGCATGAAATGTGTTCTATGCAGCTGTTGTTTAACACAGATATAAGAATTTGTCTCCTTCCATATTACTCTTTTTTCTCAGATTTTAAAAGTGAGTTAACTGCATGATGCTTTTTTGGGGGAGTATGTATGTGGGTGTTTTGTGGTGTGGTTTTGGTTTTTTGTGGGGTGTGTGGTTCTGTGCGGCTTTTTTGTTTGCTTGTTTTTTGGTTTTGTTGTTATTTTAAAGAAGTTAAAATGTCATTGAAGCAAAGGCAATTAAATGCTAATTTATATTTTTCTTTCTTAATTTGTTCTGCATGTTTTTATGCCTTACCTTTTATGTTTTCTAAAACAGATTTGCAAACTGCCATTAAGACTTTACTTAAAAAAGGACCAGGATTGGAGGATGCCAAACAATCACAGTTCATTGCTTTCAGAAGGTAACGGAGTATGCAAGTAGACATTGAACAAATCCTTGCTAGCAGCCACAATCTAAAAATATCTGAGTGTGTTGAATTGGAGAGACTAGTGGCAATATCATAAAATTACTAGAGAGAACAAACAGGCTCGATGTCTCTCCCTGTACCTTCTGGTTGCCCCCTGTCTATCCATGAATAATTGCTTCATTTTTCTCTAATCTTAACGTTATTTTTCACCATAAATTCTACCTTTTGTGCTCATGTTCCTCTGTATGGTTTTTGTTAGTGAAGCAAAGGATGGACTTAATGGTCACTTTTTGTAGCAGACTGTGAGAGCCTGTGCTCTTGTTTTTGGAACAGTGTGGTGTTCAGAAGCAGAAGGTGAGAGCTTGGCTGTAGGAGGAACCCACAAGATACAAAGAAATACGTGTATTCAAATGTATCCATCTGTGGCAGATGTGAATTCCAGGCTGTGTGGTGGAGTGTATAACCCACTATCTCTACAGCCTGCTGTCGCAAGTGGGAATTGACCAAGTAACAGAAGATACTGGCGTTTTGACCACATGTCAAGGGTCAGATTTAGTCATACAGTCTTCTGGGCATCAGTGCTTCTGCTCTGCAGTGACAAAGGCCTATAGTTTAGGTATTTGGAAGCACAATACCCATCAGTTAAGAAGGTGTGGGATGTAGGGCTCTAACACGCATTGAAGAAAGATTGGAAAGTTTAGTAATCACAGGAGCATGAATAGTATGGATGGCTTCACAGAAACACTGAAGGGATAAATATTATTTGCAGTAGTACCAACAGTCCATAAACTTGCAGTTCGGCACAGAAGGGTACTTAAGAAACAACTCTTCCACTTTTATTTGTGAATAACCTTTTCTCAGTAATTAAAAAGCTCCCACTATTTCCAGGTTACCAGTGAGCAAATAAGCGATGTATAAATTTTGGCTAGTTCACCTGTTTGTTGTGGATGCTGTGTAACTAACTCCCACATCAATTGCATTTCTCCAATCTGCATTCAGGTACAATATTGTTATTAGTGATTTTCATATAAGATTAATCTGGAATTTATTTATAGGTATGTAATCTACACTTAAAAGTTGAAATCCCAGGTCTTTAAAACGCAAATAAATCTTCTGGCTATTTTTAATATATTTATAGACAGAAAATAATCTGTCCAGGCCTTATTTTTTCTTTAGTTTTCTTCTTTATCTGAAAAACAAATCTAGCTAATCTAGGTATGCAGTGTAAACATCCTTGCCTCACTTTCTGTGGTATTTAGACAAAACTGTTTCTTTACTGCTCTGTCTTCTAAACTCTGAACCAGCAATTTTTTTAATTGTTAGTGGAAAATCACCAAAGCTAAAAAGGGCTTTTTCCATTATTTATAAATCGATGCTAATACAACATTGCCTGTAATTGTATGTTTTGTACATCATGATTTTGTTCATATTCTTGTTTTGTATGATTTAGGCAAGACTGCAATCTAATAAATGAACTTTGTTGCCAACACTATTCAAATCATTTAACCAGGTAAGCCACTGTTTTGCATTTCCCCTGTTAACAATATCACTTTGTTTTTGAAAGTGTTATAGCCAGGCCAAAACCCTAAAACAAGATTACACAACTTTCAGTGTTTCATCTAGATCTGATAAACAATTCATAACATAAATTTTCTTTAATCTCAATCTGGACTGTGAACAGTGATAAACTGCCTTTCATTTAAACTGTCATTATGTGAATTCCAGGATTTTAAGTTACTGTTGAATATTCAAAATTGACATCAAAGCTATGTGAAAAAACCTCTCAAGGTTAATTATTTTTTGCCACTGTATGAATTTCTAGACAGATTCTGAAATATTTTTGGAAGCAAGGTTTTTGAGCTACTCTGTATTACTATTTTTTACCAAAAGGTTTTACAAAAGTTCAAGAAATAAATGTGTGTTATCTTAACTGTTTTGAATATTATTAAGGTTTTTAATCTGGGTCAAGTGAAGAGAGTGGAAAGAGAAGAAATACTGAGAGATGGTAAATGCGTACTTACTTTGTAAATACATTTCTCACTTTTTCTTTCTCTGCCCTAGAAACCATAAAAACCGACTTTTATTTCAAATTGGGGACAAGATTTCCTGCACGCGGAATGCGTATCTCAGGGATCTCTTGCCAGGCTGTGGTTCCAGAGATGGTTCTAATGGCCATGAATATAGAAATGGAGAAACCACCCTCACTACAGAGGCTGCTGAGGAGGGAAAACGACTGTGCAATGGAGATATATTTTTCATAACAGAGGTTAGTCCTTGCTGTGAGAACTTGCACAAAAAAATCCTGGTGGTAACTAAGTTGGTCTTTGTTGAATCCCTAGAACCAAAAAATTCACACTTTACAAGTTTAGTCTGTAGTACATACTTAGTTCTGCTAAACTGTCATGTGAAAGGCAAGAAAGAGGCAAACTACAATAGAGAATTTAAAAAACCCAACTCTGGGCTTTCTTGTAAAATGTGTTTCAGTTGGTCTGCTTGTGTTCAGTGTAAATACAATTTGTAAAAAACATATGGTAACTGAAATGGATAATGTTTTGCATATAGGCAGAAACAGTCTTAAGTAAAAATAAGGCTAATGTTACAGCTGGAGATCTCCCTGGCAGAAAACTAAGCTGACCTAAAAATACAGCAGTAAAAAACTCTACTCAACAGGGAGTTGAGTAGAGGGACCAGTGAAGCTGTTTTCCTTGAAGATGGTCAGTGAAAGAATAGGGATGCCCTCAGATGTCGGTCAAACAGCCAGTACAAGCTCACTGCTGAGTATTGTGTTATTTCTTTAGGATGTAGAAATTGATAAACAGCGCTTACTCACCATCAGCAGCACGTACGGCTCCACGTTCACTGTGAAGTATAAGGCACTGAAGAAACTATGTCACATAAAACATGCGTGGGCCAGAACTATTCACACATTTCAGGTAAAAACACAGCAGCTCTGAGCTGTATTTTCATATGAAAGAGTCAGAAACTTTCTTGAAACCACAATTCCTTGAATGCAGGATATTCTTGAATATTCTTGAAATATTCCTCGTTCTTCTGTCTTCTTTTTTTTTCTTTTTTTTTTTTTTTTTTTTTTTTTTTTTTTTTTTTTTTTTAATTATTTACTGGAGATCTTTCTTTGAAATGGCATTCTTAAACCCGTTTCAGGGTTCTGAGGAGAAAACGGTTGTGTACGTGGTTGGCAATCCTGGCCGTCAGCACTGGCAGCACGTGTACACTGCCGTGACCAGGGGACGCTGCCGTGTCTACGTTGTGGCTGAAAAGCTGCACCTCCGCAGAGCAGTTATGAACAAGAACGTGCCCAGAAAAACTCGCTTACAGAGATTTTTGAGAGAGGCAATTTCAGAAGCAAGCAACTGTCCCAAACAAATGAACTCTCCCCTCACGAAGTGCTGGCAACATCAGGAGGGCGCGACTTGCTCTGTTTCTGTAACTCAAGGTGCTCCTGGCCCGCCTGAACCTCAGACTGACCTCACAAAACAGGAAAGGTCGTCAACTCTCAATAAAGAGCAGACAGGCAGTTTGCAGCTAAGTCCTTACAAAAGACACCAACCTCTTGCATCTGAGGATGCTACAGAAATACCCCCCGTAAGTATCTCCTTGCTGAGAAAGTTTAGAACAAACTTTTGCACCCTTACCACCACAGGTCACCTGGTACTTGTATGGTTCATAGTTTTACTCTTAATAATTTTCAAGATGATTGGTAATTGGTGAAGCAGTCAAATTTGGCATATCTCTTCCCACAGTCTATATATGACTAATATGGGAAAATGTCAATAGTAGTAAATTTATACATCTTTCTACTCACTTGAGTGATCCGTTGGCCACCTTAGTCTGTATTAGCTTATTCTTTGTGCACAGATGTCAGCAGACAGGTGACCTGCTGTGAAAGCTTTGTATAAAATTTAAGCACTGAAGTTAATCAACTGAAGCTGATTTTTATACAATCAAACCTAATTAAAACAGATGCTTTTTTTTCATTAAATCTAATTTCTGAGCTCTGTCATGGAGAAAGAGCTTTTTTTGAAGATGCTAAGATATTTTAGGTCTGTTTCAAACTTGGCTAACATTTGTGTTTTGTTTTGACAGACAACAGTAGAAGAATCCCCACTTGGATCTTCTAGACTTAAGAATCTAACTTTGGGACAACCAATTCCTAGGAAACTTTTCAAAAGCTAACAAACAATTATAAACTGTCTTCTTTATGAATCTTTATTGAACGTGTTCTGTTCAAGATTTTTGGAATTGAGAAGCTGAATATGCAGATACTTTTCAAAGACTTTCCTGTTTTTGCATATTCTGTGAAGAACAGCTTGTTTTACACCGAGCCTTTTACATTTTCACTGATCCATTTTTAGTATATTCATCGGTGTCTTGGTCTTAAAAAAAATCACATAATTCTTCTGTTTTGGTGAAGAATGAACTTAACAGGTCTTACAGAATCCAGATGTTCCTGTGAAAAATACATGCGGACGTATTTTGATTTAAAGACTCCTAGCTTTCCATACCAAGATTTATCCATCTCCTAATGCTAAGACGCTCTTACTCATGTGCCAAAACTTGTAGTTTGCTCTTGAGTAAAAAAACCACTTTACAAAGGGGAATTTAGGTTTCTCTAATGTGGTAGATTTATGGGCATGAAGCTTTGATGTATTATGGCTTTTAATCTTGTTATAAATAGAACAAGAAAGCTGCAATCAATCAGTGAAAGAAAATTTTTCACACTTTGTACTTGAAAGAGATGTAGAACTTGCCATTGCTGCTTTAGCTAATAGTTATATGCTACTGATGGTCTTGTAAGAAAAGAAAAATTCCAAGTCAGTCCAAATAACATTCCACTTTCAACTTTTTCCTGTGTACTGTGTGACCTGCTGCATTGTAATTTTGAGATTAGTAAGTTGAATGTTAAAACATCAGACATATTGTACTAAAATGTGTCTTACCTTTAACGATTTTTTTTCTTTTCACATAGAGAAAAGTATACTACAAATATAAACATGGTATTTTTTGCTATAACTGTGGAAAAAATATAAAGTAGAAAAATAATACCTCATTTTTAATGTCTTTAAATCACTGTTTATTTCAATTTATACAGTTTTTCCATACAAATATTTGCAACAGTTTGAATTTCAAAAAAACATAACATAGACGATAAATATCATGCTATTAAAGTATTAAATTTGTACAAAAATACTTTACAGTTTTAATACTTGTTACAGATAAAAATACATATTTAAGTGACTCATGAACTTTGTTTATTTGTGGGATTTTTACATGATTCAGCCTCAAATGTCATTCTGACCTTTTCTGGCAGTGCTGAAATAGAAATTGGAGATACTTGTGTGTGCAGGGCAGGTGAGTTTGTTCATGTATTGGAAATAGCAACAGGGATACAGTTAAACAGTTTAAATTGACCAGAAACAACTCTGTAAGGTGATTGCTTAGATATTGAGACTCTACAAATGTACAAATCCAGTATCTTTATATTCACCAATAACAATAATTACTAATAACAACTTGAATACCAGAATAAACCAAAGCAGCTGCTGGTGAGAATATAAAGCAACTGGCAGTATTTTATTGCTTGTGGGGAGAGGGGAGAGGAGAGAATTCGTGTGATGTATTTGTAAAATATATTTACAGTTTTAAATTCTAAAAATGTGTTGCAGGGGGGTAATGTTTATCATAAAGAAGGCTGAAACAAAGCATATGAAATAGTACCTTTGTCCCTTCAAGAAATTGTTTGACTTAAAAAGCTCACGTGTGACAGTACAAGTTTACAGGTTTATGGATCATTAGAGAGCTTTCCTATCAATCTCCATGGACATCGTTTAAAAAACCACCATTTTCTTTTAAAAACCTTTCTAATTTGTCTAAACATTTCAGTTTTACTCTTTTCAGTAATCCTCCTTCAGAGGTTTTATCCCACTAAAAAAGTCTCTGCTTAAAAATCCCCACAGGTTGCAAGACATACCATTAAATACTTCAATGCATAGGGAATAACATAGGTTCCAACAAAGTGTACCGAAGTGGGGGAGGAACGTTCACTGCAAATTGCAGCTTCCTGCAAGCATTTTGTTAAAACATCTAAGCCTTGCTTTGTCTGGTAAGTGCACCTTTCTGGCCATTCTCAGGAAAACCCAGTGCAGTAAACCACTCTGTCTTGTCCATCATACAGCAGCACCTTTCTGATAAAAAGGTTTTTTTAAAAACAATGTAACCTGGACACCATTTTTTTTTAGCAGAGATTGACTCTCTGCTCTTCCCTCAAACAGCTGCTGCTGCTTAAGGGAGAGGTACATTTAGATCATGTTTAAAACATCTCCCCAGTTTCTTATTTGGGGGGAAAAAAAAGGCCCTTATGATTTTTCTTACTGTTACTAATGCAAGATTGTTTAGAATGGAATGACTTGACTTAATGAAGAATTAAAATATTTCAAAAGTAACCATGAAGCTATAGAAGGTTTGAAACGGACAGACTGACCTCCTGTGCTTTTCAGTGCTGTACGGCATCTGAGCCTTAATCTCAGAGAAATCTTGAATGGATTTAGCACCATAATTGTCTTTTGTTAACCGAATGTCCCACTGAAATGGTTTTCTGCTATAATGTATTTGTAGGATCCCGTGTCTCTGTATTGACATGAGTGTGTCCGCTCTGCTGAAGGAAGGCATTATTTGGGTCACTCCATTCCCCACTCGCCGAAGGATGTTCTGAGCTTCCTTTCTGAGATGCCAGTGGGTTTCTGCTAATAACCAGTTCCAGCTTGTTGCCAGATTCTGCGATGAGGGGCACAACTAGACAGCAGTCAAAGTCTCTAGTGCGAACGTGGTTTACCTGAATGATGAAAAGATTGATTTTTGTTACCATTCTAGGAAAAAAAAAAGATTACAAGAGAAACAGATCTTGAGACTACGGAGACTGATTTAACTATTCCAGGTAGAGAATTGCCCAATGCAAGGCTGTTTACCATGGTGTCTGGTCTGAAGACATCAGTTAAGTTTTCTGCTCTACAAACAGAATGCAGCTAAAGTAGAGATATTTACACTCGTACTAGCTGTTGGCAGCTGTCGCAGTGCTGACTCCATAAATGACATTTAACAGCTCATAGTTTTCCATCTTTCATGGTGTTCATCAATTTAAATGCAATAGAGCATGTCTAAAATTTCAATTCAGTTCAGGTCTTCTCTGGTTTTACTTAATATATATAAATTCATATAAAATATATTATTGGACTAATTGAGAAATAAGTTAGCTTTTTCATCACAGTCCAACTTGGCACCGTGATGAGAGTGGTGCTGAGTATTACGTTATTCCAACTATGTCACTCAACACTTGGATTAAACATACAAATAGCTTTCGTCTCTGTACTAGGAACAGCAAAAAAGACAAATCTGTATGGAATTGCTTCGGGAAGTTACAACTTCCTAGTGAGCATCTGTATGTCTCCTTTAAAGTTCTGAAATACCTAGTGTTCTGAAAGGATTTGTGTATATAAATATAACTACATATGACTTATACTAAATATGACTACTACACAGGAAAATCCAGTCTTAGTGCCACTGCATAAAAGCCCAAGCTTCCGTGAGTGCTGTCTTTTCTTACCAAGGCTCTAAGAAATTCACACAGCACAGCCTGTAGCACAGAGCAATTATGATCATTTGTCCTTCTTCCTGCCCCCCATGCCCATCTTTTCCCCTGTGCTCATTACTTAAATTACAATAAGCAATACAGATCACAGGGCTGTTCCGAATAAGTGATGAAAACACTTTGTGCAGTTTTTAGTAACTGTGGTGGCAGTGGATCAGGGGTTGGACTTGATGATCTCAGAGGTCCTTTCCAACACATCTGATTCTATGATTCTATGATTCTACAATCACATCTGCAAAGAAAAATACCCAAACACCCTCCTACCCACCCTCTTTTTTCAAAGTAATCTGTATGTCATGTCCCTTCGTGCTAAACCTGTGTGGTGCCAGAAACATTACCTGTAAAAGTCTATCATATGGTTTTAAACCTCCCAGATCGCCAGGGCCAGCTGGTCGAATGTTTTTAACATATACTCCTTTCTCCAGTAAACCATCCGAGACACTGAACCCAAAGTCTTCTCCATCAGAGTCCTTGTACAAAGTTACCTGTGGAGGGGATGTGAAATGATGAGCAAGAAAAAAAAAAGTTTGCCCCCAGATCTGGTGGTTTTGCATTTTTTTTTTTTTTTTCTTTTCACATTAGAGAGATCACTTACCTACTATTTGGTACTTACAGTATTAAAGTTGTCCCCATTTGGACATTATATTAATATTCTGAAGTTGTATCAGGAGGTTTAGGTTGGATATTATAAAAAGGTTCTTCACCCAGGGGGTGGTTGGGCACTGGAACGGGTTCCCCAAGGAAGTGGTCACAGCACCAACCCTGACAGAATTCAAGAAGCATTTGGACAATACTCTCGGGCACATGGTGTGGCTCTTAGGGATGGTCCTGTGCAGGGCTAAGGGTTGGACTCAGTGATCCTTGTGGGTCCCTCCCAACTTGGCAGATTGTGTAATTCTGTGATTCTCAGAAGCCACCTTATTCAGGAATAAACAGCCCTTTTCACTTCTGCTTGTCAGTGGGAAATTTGTGGTATTTAGCCCACCTTTCTCAGCTGTAATTTTTTTGAGTCTTAGTTTTTTGTTTCGCCATTCTCTAGCTGCCAGGATCTGAATACAAGATAAGGTTTAATTTTGCTTCAGGTATGAAGACCAAAAACTGGTTTTGTGTGTTCTAAAACTTCCAGAGGGAGTAAAGACCATTGGCACTGTAAACCCTAGACAGCCTGTTTTTGGCCAGGCAATGGTCCACCCTGTGAAGTCTAATCTCAAAAGCGCTCAGTATAGGAGTTATAATGCTATCTTTTAAGAAAGTACAGATAAAGATCCTGAAAGAGCTTGCAGGCAGTGTTCTTACATATAGCCACGAAGTGGTCATTCAAAAGCAGGAAACAGAAGTTAATAAAACTGTTAGGAGGAGGTTTTTCGAGTGTTCATAAGACAAGTCCTCACAGGTAGTTCTGTGTATTTATCTATTTGACAGAAAAAGATAGAGACTTCATAGGTAAGTGGCATGCTTAGGTTTTAATTTCTTCTTGCTTCTCTCTCACATCAGAAGTGCCAACCTATGCAAGGAAATTGTGTTAGTCAGGGGTGTACCATCTGACTGACACTGATGGTGTGTGCACAGATACACTTGCACAGTCAAACTCGTGCTTTTACTGCTATAGCTTATGTCACCTTGGATTCAAAATACTGGTTTTACCATACCTTGACTGATAAAACCAACAACTTTAGGTCTTCCATAATTTTATAATGGTTTAGTACCAGTAATGCTCCATGTGCTGCATCTTCGTGTGTGCCAGGCACCAAATTGCTTCCTGATGTTTCTGAATAGCAGAATCATTCAAATTGAAGGTGACTTTGGAAGTCGCTAGTCCAATCTCCTGCTCAACACAGGCCAAGACCAAATTTAGATCAGGCTGCTGAGGTCACTGTTTCATAGAAGGATGCCAAGGCACAGCAGTACAGGAGCACAGCACTGGTTGATGCTACCTTAAGAAAGCTGCTGAGCTCCTTCCTTAACTGCCATAGTGAAAAGGTAAGCAAGAACTGATCAGGTTGTCTCTAAATAGGAGTAAAGGATTTGGGGGTTGGTTTTTTTCATGCTGTCTGCAGTTTTCTTGACTTGACTTTACGGGTATATAAGCAGTGTCTCAACTAGAGTGAAATCACACTCATTAGTAAGTTTGGTAGCTGTCCAGGGCAGCGATTGAGAAAAGTTAGATACAAGTGCAGCTGCTGCAGCATTAGCACTGTTTTATCTGTAGATGTGGATGGTGCATTGCTGGGTTACTGTGAAAACATCTATGTGTTGTGCTGTGGTGAGCACAAATATCCCTCACAGTATTCATTCCTTACTTTACATCAGCTCATCCTCTACCCTTGTTTTTCTCCCTTTGGACAGCACTGCAAAGCAGAAAGCCACACCTAAAGTCTCCTTAACTAAACCAAAGGCTTTCTTCCTGCCATTGACGTTTTTGGGTAAGCTGTCCTTTTAAACTTCCTGGGGGCTGCGATGTTTAGGTCTTGGCCTTCTATTCTGCAATCTTCCCCCTGAAGTAACTGCTTGCTGAACCTGTCATACATCCTTCATCTCAGCATGA